AGTATTTCCGTAAAAAACTCCCCCGAAAATTCCTAGAAGAATCTGGACAATTGTGAAGTTTCGGCAGATACTATCTGCACCAACCAGTACAATAGAGGACTGAATCGAAATAGTCACTTCAATCCACTTAACGGACAAAATTACAAAGGAAATAAGTGCGTTGAGCAAGTGCAGTTCCCAAGTTTGAGGGTAAAAATGGTGACCGCCTCTGGTAGTAAGTTGCAAATTGTAAAGAAGAAGGTAGCGAAGTTCATGAGACATGAGTCTGAAAGGTATGACCGTCTTAAGCCCACCGAAGGGTATTGACAACCGCGTTCGTCGACTTCCTTCATCAGTGCAGACATTTATGTTTTTAAAAATGAAAGCTTGTGTAGAAACTCTGTGTTTACATGCCTATCATGAATTTTGCGTGAAATTTCAATGAGCAATACAATGGCCTCCGAGATCGTCGAATAATATGTAGTATGTTATCAAATGCCTGCTTCGACGGTTCGGATTAATGACAGTTGTGCAAAGAACTTACCAGCTCTTTTCCGGTGAAGTTCGCATATTCCACAGTGGTGGGGAGGGGGAAGTGAATGACTCCAAGACCTTTTCTTGATTTTTAGAACTGTTTCGGTTGAGATATGAAGACATAAACTAGTGGTCGTCAAGTGCATTTGCTAAAAATGTGCGCTCTCGATACAGGGCTTGTGAAGTTATTAGTTGGGTAGGCAAGGTTCCTCCCATTTTTGGAAGAGAGTGGTTGTTGTGTTGCTAAGACAACTACGCTTCAGGTTATCATCAAGGAAATTCATCGATTAAAAATCATGAGAAGCGCACGGTATTGCGCGCCGGCCAACTGGTAATAAAATAATCTATGCCAAGAAAAAGATACTGGAAGGTTCATGCTATCCCTGGTGGGCACGTTTCGGCAACGTTTAATTTTTATGGAAGCGAAACGATTGGGTACATACCTGCTTCCGCTTGTTTTAGGTCCTTCGTCCTCCTCTATTTCTAGTCTAATCATTTGCATTCAGCAGATGTGTTCATCAGCAAGCAAGTGACGTGGTCAGCATTCGTATTTCAGATCAGGAATACAATTGTTGACTGCGTCACTTCCTTGCTTGTCGATTTTTATGCATGGCATATGTATAGTATATGGCGCATCGAAAGGTCTTTTTTTNTTTTTTTGAATATTCATTCTAATGGCCAAGATCTATGTAGATACATATATTTTACATTCGAAAATGAGGTATTCGGTGTTGGGTTGTCCATCAATCCAGAAAAGCCGCAAGAAACAGCCGGGAAATGAGGAGCACATCTTGGCTGTTGATTTTTACAAAATTGCTCGTCAGTGTAGGCTTTTGAACGAGCCCCTGCTGCCGAATCCACAGCACACTGTTTCCTTGGGTCAGTTGGAGCCTCTGGCCTGTTTCGCTGCGATGATGTCATATGCAGCCTTTCTTTCACTCTTAAGTTCTTTCCCAAAAACGATGTTTGGGCGCCAAGTATGTCTTTTGATAAAGTATGCATTAATGTACACTTTCAGTCAGATGTTTCAGAAAGGGTTTAATGATTTCCTTGGAAATTGTGGTGACAATCAAGTGAAATCATTCGGGGATTTCTGAGAAGCGTTCCTTAAGGTTTATGTGAATAGAAGAAGGTATGGGGAAGAGAGTACATGTAATTAAG